TATAAACCTTCTTAAGATCATGTCACTCAAAGTACAATCTTGGAGTATGACTTTAAGACTTGATTTTGGAAAGAAGTATAACTCTCCTTAGTTGATTTAACCATTTAAACGATTCTCGATACCTCTTCTTAGCCATGCAAATGTACTAAGGTGTCCTTGGAGGATCAATTGTGATATTGTTTTCATAATCCTTAAGATGATCATAAAACACGATACTAAAGTACTATCCTTTCCTTTCAGATTGGAGAACCTTTTATCTTTCTGCCTCATTGATTATTCTTATTCTTTCTGCTATACAACGAAAAATTTTCAATGATTCATAATTACACTTAATCTTGTAAGTATAACCATATTTACTAACTTTAGTAAATCATGACGAATAGTTTTATCATTCTTTATGGTGGACTTGGACCAGTACACAACCAAGCGTACCTGATCCCCTAGTCCTTCACGTGACTCACATATACATTTTAATAAGGAATTAGTCTTAATTTCCCAAAGATGGAGGTTCTCATTCATCATACAATACAATTTGCATGATTCCAAGTTTCTATTCGATTGTAACTTGGTTGATGAGAACCTTTCCTTATTTGGTAAATTTAGATACTACCACAAACGAAAGAATCAAATCCATATTGCTAAAAATGGAAACATACAAACATTAATCTTCACAAATTCGATTGCAAGGAATTATAAAATAAGATAAAAACAAAATTTTTCTTTATTTATAAAACTACGGAAAGTTTTGTCCTTACAATGCAAATATATATATGAAAACTATGCTACTGAATATTTCTAAGCAATCTATCATATCTCCTAAGTAGCAACTCAAAAATCAGGTTATCGAATCAGGCGATTAAAATCTATCTGTTCACGATAAGATTTAGCTTACTCTTCCTTTAAGCTTCCTTTCTTTTCTTGATCCCACGAAAAATCAAAATGTAATTACATTACATCATGTGTTAAGAATCTTCAAATAGGAACATAATAGAGTTAGATAGTGGTCTTACCTGAAGCAGAGTCATACACTCAGACTTTACCATCCTTATGATCCTTCAAGTAGACACAAAAGCTTCGCATCCAATGCCCCTTTCCTTGGCAGTAGAAGCAAACAGACTCTTTTGGAATGGCACACGGGACAATCTCAGACTTAGTATTTCTCTTTAACATTAGGTCAAATGGTTTGACCATGGCCGACCCCTTTCCATTGTGAAGAGAAGACTTTTCTAGGCTTCCAATGTTTCCATTGTTAATATCCATGGAAGTTTGGGAGGTAGATGTTCCAATCAAATTTGCTTAACCGGTGCGCCAAATCGTTTCTGATTCAGCAACAATTAGCAAATAGGTAAGATCAATAAGGGTCACATCATGGTCTATCATATAGTAGTCTTTAACAAACTGACTATACGACCTGGGAAGTGACTGAAGAACCAAATCAACAGCCAACTTCCTCGACAAAACGACTCATAACATTCCCAGCCTGTCAATGTGTGACTTCATCTCCAAGAAATGTGCACACATAGACATTCCATATTGGTTTTTGCTAGCCAATAGGTCTTGAGTAACCATGAACTTTTCAAGTCGACGAAATTGTGGGTCAGGGTGAATTATTGGAGGAGGTGGAGGAGGTGAAGTATGATTTCTGGGAACATCATCTTCATGAGGAAAGCTTTTTCCATAAGATTCGGGAAGACCATAGTTGTCTGAACTAGACATATACAAGGGAGAAATTCAAGTTATGTTGATTTAAGTCCTTAATATAACACCCAAATGAAATATTATGGCTAGGACCCTACACAATAATTACAATTCGAAAGAGGGATGTCGTAATCAAATTGCAAACTATTGATCGGTAGGTAAATGACGATTTACCAATTTCCACCATTAAAAAAAAAGAACATTACGTTTTAAATGAATTGAAATTCCTATTTTCTTTGAGATTCATTAGGCTTTTCAATGGCACGTTTAATATCGATTATGCCCTTCAAGTTTGTGACTGGGATACCGAGGAGCACAAAGAAGGTGTGAATAAGAATGCAAATTAACTTGGTACTCTCAAAGTCATTTATCACCTAATCAATGTGCCAGTTAACCACACACGATCCATTGATCTATGATAAACATCGAGCTACCCTTTACCACCTTTATTAGTCCAAGTTAGCGTGCCAGTTAACCACACCCACTCCACTAACGACTTGACAAGGTGCAAAGTGCAATTTTATGGATCAGCACCAAATTCACATTTTCTTAAAGTAACTAGGATTTGGGAATTTATAAAAATGTTTAGTTACTTTATTTCATTATACTTTAATGGAAGTTTGTGTCATATCCTACCTGTTCGGCTAACGACCCTCCACTAGTGAAGAGTGCGGTGGGTAAGAGTGGATACCCATTCAATCACCATCTTATAAGTAATTTCCTTAAACACCCCTTATAGACCAGCTTCGTGAATGAGTTCTACTAACGGTAAGATTGAATCTTTACTTATGCATATATAATATTTTTTTAATGTTATATAGTATAAGGGTGTATTTTAGACATTTAAAATACTTGATGATTTAATCTATTAATAAATTATACTCTTAATTTAATTAAACTTAAACCATATGCTTGTGGATTTAATAATATGCTTTTAATTAAACATTTAATTAACTATTAATAAAGTCTATAAGGTGTAATTGAACTATCCAATGTTTGATAATTTAAGACTTTTCAAATACCAAAACTTGAGGGTAAGTTTTGTAACTTTTGAAAACTTTTGGTTTCCATAACTCTTTAAAACCTTTTAAGTTCCAAATTTGATGACAAATTTTTGTAACTTCTTAAAAAAACTTTTGACTTGCAAAACTTTGGTGGAAAATTTGTAACTCTCCAAAAATTTTGATCTTCATAACTTATGAGTTAAAGTTTTTTTTTATGAGTGAGACTTTTCATGTTCCAAAACTTGAGGACAAGTTATGGAAATCTTCAAATAACATTTAGATTAATTTTAACTAATAAGACTATCATATAATTTATCATTGATCTAATTTTAACTCATAAGGCAAGATAATATCAAATCAACAATTTACAAGTAATTTGCTTATCATACAAACTAACAATTATATTAAAATTTTGACAATTATCTTTTAATTGGATGGGATAATCATTACCATATAAAAACGATTTTTATTAGTCAAAACAACATTGGTAATGATCCTACTCCAAAACTTGGCCAAAAAACTGAAAGTTTTGCCCACTGAACAGTCACCACCTCGTGGTAATTTTGACCACCTCATGGTGATTAGGCAGAGTCCAAAAAAATGCTTTTTTTTTCTTTGAACAATTAACCAATGCATCAATATAACAGAAAACTACCTATGGCTCTGATACAACTGTTGAGTTTTATGTACTCTAACATTCCTATGGTGTACGTACAACCCTAATGCTTTGGATCTATGTTTTTTCTAGTTATACGAGCAATAATATTATCCAAAGCATAAAGCTTACAACTAGCATATGATTGGACATTTGAATCATAAAACTAGTTAGAAGATTACCTCTTGTTTTAGCTTGTTGTTTTTGGCCTATAAGAACTTAGCACCTCAAGTATGCTGCCTCTAATAAGTCAAAAACACCACCAACAATTGGAGGATAATGAAAGAGAGCTTCTAGGAACTAAAATTCGGCTATAGTATCTCCAAGATTACTAGTGTATCAGATTTTAGGCTAAGGGGTGTCATATATATATATATATATATATATATATATATATATATATATATATATATATATATATATATATATATAGTGTAGGAATCCAAGAGTCATGGGTAAACCCTAATTCATACAATTGGGTTATGATCCATATCTCATGTGGGTTAACTCTTCATGGACACTTACATAAACTTAGCCCATCATGGATCAATAGCCCATATATATATATATATATATATATATATATATATATATATATATATATATATATATATATATATATATATATATATATATGGGCTATTGATCCATGATGGGCTATATATATATATATATATATATATATATATATATATATATACACACAACTGATTTACATAATCAGTCTCTGTCAATTTAATTAGTCTCTTTTGATCACTAAAATAATTCCAAATTAATTCTTGATCAATACTAATTAAATATGATTTCATATTAATATATTATACTTATAATATTTTAGCAAATCACAAGTAACCTTTTTCTCAAATATCCATCATATCAGATTGTTCTGTTGAAGGCAACCCAAAAGAACCATGCTACTCTCGGGTCAAGTACATACCAATTATAGTTATGGGCTTAGAAACCTAATGTAACACTCCTTTCGTTACAGCCCTTGTTGTAGTTGTTCTTGTCGAAATTATTGGATCAGAACTCTTAGGCAATTAATAAGGAATTTGAGTAGCCTTTACTCCACAACCTTCGCATCATCATCAGTTTTCCCTGAACCTCTTCTCTCTTGTTTGATCTTGAACTCATGCCAACACCCTTTCTTTCTTCCCCTAGCACCCTATATGAACAGGTGGGGCATCCTTTGGCATCAAATTGAGAAATTTCACTAGTAGGGCCAATTAATTTTGAATTGTGGAGTCAAAAAAATGAAAATTTTGATTCAAGAAGTCCTGAGTAAGAAAGGATGAGGATGAAGAACTAGACTTCAAAACTACGTCTTTCAACTCTGCTAGCACTTTATCAATTTTCTCAAAACTCTAAGCATCAACCTAAACTTTCCTGTCAACCTTTGGAATCATGGAATCAACAGTAAGGTCATCCTGAACAACAACCTTACCTATAGACTTATAATGACCCCCATATATAGAATCCTTCTAAAACGGAACATGGTTGGTTGTCATAGGTAATAAATTACAAATTTGGTTACATCCAACATCGGAAGAACCATTTCCAAAATGATTTTCCCCAACTTTCAAAGTGACTTTCTCTACTTTCTCTTTCTCCTACTTTTCAAACATGTCCCCATGTGTCAGGTTTCACATTTCTTCATCATCAAAACTTGATGACCATATTTGGTAGGTTCCTTCTTCTTCATCCATGCCGCTGGCCACAAGTGACATCCCCTTCTCTTTTGCTCTTACTTCCTCTAATCTTTCCACATAATATGATTCATCTTTGACTCTGTTCTTCTTTTCATCCCTCTTTTGCAACATGCAATCATTGGCCATACGATCCGCTCCATTACTGTAATGAAAGTCGAATCCAGAGTCACCTTTAAGCTTTTTCTCTATTTTTGCATCTTCGCACTTGATCTCCTTCCTCTTTACTTTCTTCTCTTCACTTATAGACTTTCCATCAAAACTTCCTTTTGCATCACTTACTTGAGACTTCTCATTAGAAGGCTTTTTGAAAAACTTCTTTACTCGGTTGTTTGAGTAAAAAGCAACAACTTCGTCATCTGAGTTGACGATCAGGCCTTCATCTTATGAATTCTCCTTCTCAGCTATTTCTTTTTCAACATCTCTTCCAATAACTTTTCAAACAAGAGCAAGTGGACCTCCAAGACTAATCTTCGATTCCTCAGCAATTTTGTTCACTTCAGATTTATGTGCTTTTAACACATTGTAAAGATCATTCAAAGAGAAATAATCAAAACTTTGTTGTGTCTTTATTATAAGGCTGAAATTTCTCCATTATTTTCGAAGACCCATGATAAAAGTGAGATTGAACTCCATTGTTGACCATATTACACCATATCTATTACACTTGAAGATGAGCTCATTCAGACAATCATAATAAGACTCAACTGATTCTCCTTCCTTCTGCTTAAACACTCCTACCTCTAACAGACATTGCTTGACTGAACTGATCTTAATTTTCTCGCTTCCTTGATATTTCTCCTTTAGTATATCCCAAATCTCCTTTGAAGTTTTATAGCTACACACATAATTCACCACAAAGTTCTCGTATACATTTCTTTTCATTTTTCAATAAGTTCTCAACCTGGTCTTGGATATTTTGATTATTAGAAGAAGTTCCAATATTTTGAACTGCAGGAGGAGGACGAATATCACTGACTATGCATTTCGAGAGCTCCTCATCAATCCCGTTTAGATAGTCCTCCATACGATCAACCCACTGATCGTAGAACTCAGGAATTAACATTGGAATCTTAGTTGAAGAAACAAGAAGATGAGAGTAAGATGTCATAGTGTTCATGTTAAAGTTCACCATTGTTGTACAGAAGGTTTTTGAAGAAAGCTTCAAAAATTGAGATCTAACAATGAAAACTAACAGAAATTGACAACGTTTACTCGATTCAAACAACAAAACGCAGAATCGAATCAAAACAGATGATCTACAAAGATTTTCATATTAAGAATGGAAAATTCTGAATCTTGAATGAGACTTAAAATACTTTTGAAAACAAAAGAAAATCAGATGGCAAGCTGTTTGATTAATGGTCTGATACCAAATGTAGTTGTGATTTAATCTAGTAAGAATTACGAGATCAGAGTTATGAAAGAACGATGAACGCAAGATCTAAATAATGTCTGTTTGGCTCAATTAAGCTTTCTGAAGTACAAAGAATGTTTTAGAGAATACAATGTGAATGATGATGTTACTCTCTAACTCTAGTACTCATCCCATATATATATATATATATATATATATATATATATATATATATATATATATATATATATAGGGATCGATAAAGCATACAAAAAATGTATGGGACTAAAACCACCTAAGTTTCGAAACATAATGCCCTTATAATAAACAATCTTACAAACACACTTCAACATATAAACTGACTAAGAAATATTTCGACACCTCACAACACTTTCAAACTCTACACATATCTGCTTTGATCAATTTGGTATACTCGAAAAGCATAGGATTTTTTGATCCTCCTATCATTGACTTTCTCAGCATACTCAATGACATCTTTTCTTCTTTTATCTATAACAAAAATTTACGTATATGTTGTCATGCATAGTAAATTACACTACAATTATCATTAAACTATTACGATATACGGAAACACTTACCTCCAGCATTAAATCACTGGCACCACCATTGTTGCATAGTTGCTCAAAAGAAATCGATCAACATTGTTATTGATAGTTTCCTTGCGTCTCTTGATAATGAATTGATGGACTCGACACTGCTTGATGTCATAATATTGTATCGAACCATGGGGAGACACAACCTTTCCCATCTCTTGTTATTGATTCTGTCTAGCCATGTCTGGCAATCATCGTTTAGTGCACAACATAAACAACTCAAGCTTTCATTGAAATTAGACTCTCAGTATGCCTTTGTAGCCTCCCAAAACAAAATCTTGGTTCTCTCTTGCTTGTCGATCGTTGTTCTCATATTCATTAACAAATGGTCACAACAAATTCCATGATATGCATTTAGGAACATGACTTGAATGGCCATTTCAATTGAACTGGCTCTATCTAATATGATAGCCAAAGATGACATGTCCCCAATACATTCTTTGAGTCTTGATAAAAGCCAAATCAATGACTCTCCACTTTTAGTTTTCCCAACACCAAATGCAATAGAAAGGATTTGGTTATTACCTTCCATGCCTATGGCTAGGAGCATGGTGCAAAAGTATTTCCCTATAAGGTGTGCGCTATCAATGATAATAATAGGATGCAAGCATCTTTGAAATGCTTGAACCTAAAAATTAATTAATAATCTAATTAAATAAAACACATGTGTATGGACATTATATATAAAGAAATAGGTATATAAAATAAATTACCGCGGAACCTATAGCCATGAAAAAGTATTCAAATTTATTGCCATCACTTATCTTTATATGTGTAACCGTCACAAGATTCTTCTTCTCCAAGTTGTAACAGTATATCTGTAGTCTAAGAAAACTTTCTTTAGGGGTCCATCTCAATAGATTTAGAGAATAAATTTTAGCATTCCATGCTTGCCTGTATGAAATATGTACACAAAGATGATCATTTAAAGTTCGTTGAATCTGTTTTCCCCCGTTATTACTGGTACTATCAGGTAATATGCCTTTCAAGAAGTGACCCAATACCTTTTTGTTGGCTTGTCAGTGATGGGGACGTAGATGTGTGTTTGAGCAAGTGTGTTTCATCGATAGTTTAACCACTTGAAATGAATCAGTAGTATTATGTTTTGTTGCACTAATCCGTCAGTCACAATTATCCATATAGCAAACAACTTTAAACTTATCTTTTTTAGAATTTTTCACTTTATGTTGGAAAAATTCACTAACACTTTTTAACCCAAAAAATTAAGCTTAAGTTCTTATTTGTTTTACTTAAGATGGGAATTATAGTTATGCGATGTGCCCCTTTAACGAATCTTTGGAGCTAATTCGGGGAGTGGTAAAGGATTAGACATACCCCAATGGATGGGTTGTGTTTCTTCATAATCAGAAAAATAATAAGGAAATTTTTCGGTTGTGCTTTTCGCGGTTGTGGCAAGGGATCACTTTCCACTTTTACATCTTTATGATCATCTCCATCAAATTCAATGTAACTTTGAAAATATTCTAATGGCTCTCCATGTGGAACTATATTACCATCATCAACCAATGTCATTAGTTTTGCCTCATTATTCATAGATTCATTAACATCAACAGTAAGGTCATTCTGAACAACAACCTTACCTTTAGACCTATAATGACCCCCATATATAGAATCGTTCTAAAAAGGAACATGGTTGGTTGTCATAGGTAATAAAATACAAATTTGGTTACATCCAACATCGGAAGAACCATTTCCAGAATGAATTTCCCAAGGAAATTGATTAGTATCACTATCCATAACATTATTAACAACAAAAAATTATACGGTGTTGGGAGGCATGGTAGTAACAAAACTAAGAAAATATCTAACATCACTATCATCAAGAATCTGCATAACTATATTTGATCCAGGATATTGAAAAGATAGATGGATTTGATTTGTATGTAACCTGGACTTGGAATCAACTAACGTAAGTTGATATCACTTCTTATATCTACACCAAAGCATGTGTAATCCGTAGCAAGATGCTGCATACATCCATCGATACGCTGCCATTGCCTTCCACTAGAAACCGGAACTTGGAAAAAACCCATATACATACTCATTTCTAAATGTTTTTGGAAAGTATCAAAAACACAAATATACTAAAAACACAAAAGTATTGCATATTTGGAAGAAAAAAATAGAAATACCCTGATTCTTCCTCACCGCCGGCAACCACTCCGGGGCAATATCATAAATACTCTGGAATTTCGTATTCCGGAGCACACATTCGGAGCAAAACATCGTGCTCTGGAATATGGTATTCCGGATCAAGCGGACATTTTTCCAAAAAAAAATTGTGGGTATTTTTATTAAAATAGTTGTTTATAATGGTTAGATTCATGAATTTCACTATATTTTTTTGTCTCTCACATCCCATGCTTCTTTTATTAAAATACTAGGCGAATGCCCGCGCGTTGCGCATAAATACCTATATAATTGAAGTTTTTACAAATATATGTTATTTTAAATATAACAATAACGTTATTGTTAAATTTAATATAATAATTTGTATACTAAATTGATATAATATATTGATTATTTTGTATTATATGATAATATATACATATATTATAACTTCATAATCTCAATCGTTTGAATAACTTCTACCAACGAGTTACATATGAATAAAATTAAATATAATATATGGTTTAATGTTATTTATAGTTGTTATTGTTAATTAATTTTTTAAAATTTATTTGCTTAATGTTTAACATTACCTTTTGATTTTAAAGGTAATAATATAATCATTTGTATATATTTATTTTTAACTATAGTTATTATAAGTTATTTTAATCTACATATTTTTTAAATTTATTTGCTGAGCGTGGTTTCTAATGCCCGGTGTCGCTGAATGGTCGTTGTCGTCGCTATCGGCATCGTCTCAATTACCTTTCCGGCTACTTTTACAAGAATCAGTTGTCGTTGTAGTTGGTCATTGTCATCCCTAAATGTGTCGCTGCCAATGGTTTTTTTAAATAATTTATTTATGATATTAATGTGTGTGTGTGTGTGTGCGTGTGTGTGTGTGTGTATATATATATATATATATATATATATATATATATATATATATATATATATATATATATATACTTATGATATTAATTTTCATGTGTGTTGTATGTATTATAAAATGCTGCTTTAATAAAAATACATACCACATTACATAAAACATTAAATATACCACATTACATAAAACATAAAATATACCACATTACGTAAACTGTCTAATAAATCCCAAATAAAATCTAATATATCATCTATAAACTATCTAATAAATCCAAAATAACATTATCCATAACATAAAACAAGAAATACTATGTGTCTGCTTCTTCCTCATCACTGTTTTCAACGTTGGTGACTTGGGTTTTAAACGAATGGATAATGTCTCTAGTGGTCATCACAAACACTGGGTTTTGAAGAAAAACATTCACAAAAACATCCTAGAATTAAGTCACAAGCACATTAAGTCATTAACAATTTAACAAACTATCTAACCATCAAACCACCAAATGAATTAAGTCAGTAACAATTTAAAAAAACTATTAAACCACCAAATCAGTTAAGTCTTTAACAATTTAACCAACTACTAAACTACCAAAAATTACTATAAATGCATCAAGTTCTTAACAATATAGCAAACCTACCAAATTCTTTAAGAATTTAACAGATACCTGTGTTGGTTGCGGTGGTTGTGACTGTGACTGCCATTGGGTTTGAGCACTTGTACCCACTGCTGAAGAAGGTTTAGGCCCAATGCCTCCCAAATGCCCCTTCGAGTACCCAACACCTTCTGAAATATTGCGATCCAATCAATGGTGTGTGGATCACTACCGAAGTCGACTACTTGATGAGTATGTTGAGCAACCTCAACAACTAAGGCATTCTATATTTCACAAAGATTGTCAATATACGTTAAAACTAAGACAAAAAACAATCTACTTCACTTTTAAGTAATAATAACTTACATAATGCTCCTCAACCATAGGATCAACAAATTCCCCATTTTTATTCACATGCCCACGGTGTAATGCTTCAAGTCTATTTAAATTTTGTTTAACATTAAAAAATATGTTATACTTGAATAACCATTAAAAAAATATGTTATAAATGAATAAGCATTGTTGTGACTTACGTTCATAAAACAAGCACTACCATAGCTGCAGGTCCCTCCACGATTCTTAATTACTTGCTTTTTCCAGCATTCTTTGTTTCCAACGGATCGTTTTTTATGCTTTTCTGTTAAGAAGTGGTCAATAGCAACATTCCAACACTACCTGCCCATTCCTATAGGGGCTTGAGCTCTTTCTGCCTCCACATCCCCTTCAAAACCAGTCAAATGAGTTTTTGCAACATTTTTGCAGCTTCTATACCACACACATATCCGATTGTTCAGTAATTCCCAATAAACTGTAACCATGGGATCATTGGTAATCGCTCCAAAATCAAACTATGTCTACAAAAAATAGAGAAATTAAAAATATATCAAAATTAAACATATTAAATATATAACTTTATCAATAATTTACCGAAAGATACTAGAACATGTTAACCCTTTCGGCTTCAGAAATGTCTGCCTATGTGTCCTTATCGAAACCGATGCCACGCTACATATAGCTACCAACTTGTAACAACGTGAATTTTCAAAACAATTTTTCATTTTTCAAACAACATAAAAATCATACAATATTTTCAAATCTCATGTTCATCAAATATCATCATAATAAAAACATATCCCAAGATCAAAATACAATTCTCATTCAGTGTGTACGGATCATGCCGGCACCTTTCCACGATCATCACTAGTATCTGAAACACATATCACACAACACGGTAAGCATAAATGCTTAGTGAGTTCCCCAAAATATCACATACCACACATACACCACTCAAGGCCATTGCTCTATGGGACCTTCTGGTCCATGCGTCTCAGGGGACTTCCGTCCCATCCCAGATGACCTTCTGGTCCATAGCAAGATGACCTTCCAGTCCAAATACATACTACTCATAACATAACATAACACATACATATCAAATAACATATATCACATACTATTCATAGCACATAGGACCTTCCGATCACACATAATTACCACTCTAGGTAACGTATAGTAAGAAGACTCACCTCGTATGAAGTCGGATAAACTCTCGTGCTCGAATATCCCGACCTAGCCTCCTCCTATCAATAGGATAACATTTCTAATCAAAATCCTCTCATATTCTCATCTATAATATTGGGTAGAAGACCATTCTACCCCCCCCCCCCCCCCCCCCGCTTTGACCTCTCTTGAATTAGGTTGACCAAAACCCCAAGGTCCACGGAACTCTAGTCAACGGTCAAACTTTGACTAGATTTGTCGAGTGCACATGGGTGACTCGGCGAGTCCAAGCGCATCCTCTGGATCCTTCTAAGGTCTCACTCGACTCGTCGAGTGAACCTTCCACTCGACGGGTTACCACTGGTCATGAATCGCGGGGCAACCCCGACTGACTCATCGAGTTCCCTTATGGGCTCAACGAGTTCCTTCCATGGCAACACCTAAAAGACCTTTTGAGGTCAGATATCTGTTTCTCTAGCTTATAGATCTGACCTTACCATACCCAAATCACTTAAAGGTCTGACCTTTGCACTCATGCAATGTCCATAATGCTTCTTTGGGTGAAATAGCGTCTAAAATGGCATTGTAGGTTCATATCTCTAATGGAATAGCATAAAGCAGGGTAAGTAGTACTCTCTGGACCTCTTAAGGTCCAGATCTAAGAAGAACTCCACCTTGGGACCTCATATACTTCGAATCCAAGCTAAAGAAAGTATAAGAAAACCCTAGATTTAAGTAGATCACCAAATACACGAGGTTGAGCATAGGTTAATACTTCTAGCAGCCTCTTCTGATCAAATGGTGGTAGATCTGAGTTCCTCAACCCTCCTAGATTACCCTTCTTCCTTCTTTCTTGCAAAAACACACTTAAAATGATGAAAATGGCTTATTCTCTCTCTCTCTCTCTCTCTCTCTCTCTCACAACGCTCTCAGGTGCTCTCAAGGGTGAGGTGGCCGCAAATGAGTGCCATAAGGTCCTTTAAATAGGGCACATGCCCAAAGATTTAGGGTTTTTGTCCATAGCACGGACTTGTCGAGTCCACCCATCGACTCGTTGAGTCCGTTCATTAATCCAATCAGCAAATCGCGATCCTACTCGACAAGTATAGGCGTCAACTCGTCGCGCCCCTTCTCATAACTCAAAATATACAATTTAAATATGGTACCTGAAAATCCAGATGTTATAATTCTCCCCCACTAGAATCAGACTTCGCCCTCGAAGTCTCATTATGCAAACAACTCCGGGTGCTGCTCCTGCATCTCTGCCTTCGGCTCCCAAGTCAGCTCGGACCCTCTCCGATGTTAGCACTAGACCTGAACCAAGGACACCTCCTTGTTCCTTAAAACCTTGATCCTCTGATCCAGGATTGTGATCAGCTTCTCAACATAATTCAGGCTCGTATCCACCTGAATATCATCTAGTGGCACTACCGCCGACTCGTCGGCTATACACTTCCTCAACTGAGACATGTGGAAGGTATCATGTATCTGGCTCAACTCCGCAGGTAGCTCTAAACGATACGCTACACTACCTACCCTCGTGGTCACTTTGAAAGGACCAATGTACCAGGGCCCCAGTTTGCCCCTCTTCCTAAATCGGACCACTCCTTTCCAAGGAGATACTTTCAAGAGTATGAAGTCTCTAACCTGAAACTCAAGCTCAGATCGTCGCCTATCCGCATAACTCTTTTGGCGGCTCTGAACTGTCAACAATCTATGTCTGACCTGTTGTATCTGCTCAGTCATCTGAAGCATTATTTCAATGCTATGCATCACTCGCTCCCTTACCTCTCCCCAGCAGATGGGAGTCCGACACCTCCTCCCATACAACAACTCGAAGGGAGGCATACCAATACTCGAATGGTGGCTATTGTTATAGGAAAACTCAGCCAATGGTAGGTACGTATCCCAACTTCCTCCAAAGTCCAACACACATGCTCGAAGCATGTCCTCGAGCGTCTGAATCGTACGCTCACTCTGTCCATCTGTCTAAGGGTTGTATGCGATGCAGAAATGCAACCTCGTACCCAACTCCTCATGGAATTTCTTCCAAAATCTGGAAGTGCAGCGTACATCTCGATCTGACACAATCAAGATCGGTACTCCATGCTGCGATACCAACTCCCTCACATATATCACCCCTAGCCTCTCCGCAGAAGAGCTCTCACTGATAACAAGGAAATGAGCGCTCTTCGTTAGCCGATCAATGATCACCCAAATTGCATCGACACCCTTCACGGTCCTTGGCAATTTGGTGATGAAATCCATAGAAATGTATTCCCACTTCCATTGGGGAACCTCTAGTGGCTGCAACTTGCCATGCGGACGCTGGTGCTTGGCCTTAATACTGCGACAGGTCAAGCATCTCTCAATGAACCATGCAACATCCCTCTTGATAAAGGGCCACCAATAATCTCCTTTCAGGTCCGAATACATCTTAGTGGCCTTGGGATGGATCAAAAACCTCGATCTGTGTGCCACATCCATCAGGATGGCATGTGCTCCGCCCGTGAACGACACCCAAATCCGACCCTGAAAAGTCATAAGCCCCTGGCTATCAGTAACAAACTCTGATACCTACCCAATCACTCGCTCTCTCTTTCCCTTTTCCGGTCTCACAGCCTCTGCCTAAGCCTCTCGGATGGTATCCAACACTGGAGTCATTACCGTCATCCTCATACAAATATCTCATATCGGGGCACTCTCTTCCCTACAAATCAGAGTATTGGCTACAATGTTAGCCTTGCCCGGGTGGTATTGGATCTCGCAGTCATAATCCTGTACCACATCCAACCAACTCCTCTAGCGCATGTTCCGGTTGGGCTGATCCATCAAGTACTTCAAACTCGTGTGGTCCGTGTATATGATACACCAAACTCCATACAAATAATGACGCCATATCTTGAGGGAGAACACCGCGGCCCCCAACTCCAAATCATGGGTGGGATACCTCACCTCGTGAGGGTTCAGTTGCCTCGATGCGTATGCTATCACGTGCCTTCTCTACATAAGCACCGCACCCAATCCCGATGTCGATGCGTCACAATATACCACAAAATCTTCCATCTCTTCCAGGAGGGTAACACCGAGGCTTCTCATAATCTCTGGAGAAGCATCTCGAATGAGGTATGATGCTCTAGACCCCAACTAAAAGTCACGCCCTTCCGGGTCAACCTGGTGAGAGGAACGACAATCTTGGAGAAATCCATGATAAATCTCCGATAGTATCCGACCAATCCCAGAAAACTCCTGATCTCGGTGGGGGATTTCGACACCTCCAATATCATAACTACCTCAATCTTGGCCGGATCGACCAATATCCCATTCTGGTTAACGAGGTGTCCAAAGAACTGAACCTCTCGTAACAAGAAATCACACTTGGAGATTTTGGCGAAAAGCCTCTCCGACCTCAAGACTTCGAGAATCTCTCTCAGATGCTCCTCATTCTGCTCTCTAGATCTTGAATATACCAGAATATCGTCAATGAACACGATCGCCGATCGATCCAACATTGGCCTGCACACCCTGTTCATATGATCCATGAATGTTGCCGGTGCATTGGTGAGCCCAAAATGCATCACCGCAAACTCGTAACGCCCATAACGAGCCCTGAATGTTGTCTTTCGGATATCTTCATCTCGCACTCTCATTTGATGATATCCAGACCTCAAATCTATCTTAGAGAACCAAGATGCTCCCTGCAACTGATCGAACATATCATTAATCCTGGGTAATGGATAACGGTTCTTGGCTGTCAACTTGTTCAACTCCCGGTAATCAATGCACATCCGGTGTGAACCATCCTTTTTCTTGACAAAAAAGATTGGTACTCCCCTCAACGAGCTACTCGATCTAATAAACCCCTTTCTCAACAGCTCCTAAAGCTGCGAGGATAACTCCTGCATCTCTGGCGGCGCAAGGCGATAAGGCTCCATGGCGATAGGCTCTGCCCTCGGAACGAAAAGGATGCGGAACTCCACCTGCCTCTCGGGAGGCACACCCAGCAACTCCTCAGGAAAAACATCTGGGAACTCACGCACTATCGGAACATCATCAATCGAACTTGGTCTCTCCGTGGCTACTCGTGTATCCATCACATAAGCTACAAACCCGCTGCAGCCCTGTTGTAAACTCAGTCTCGCTTTAGCAGCCAAACAAAATGCTGACCCACATCGGGTACCTTCGCCATATACCGTTAGGACTCCCCCACTAGGGTCTCGTATCGTGACTATCTGCCGCTTGCAGTCTATAACCTCCCCAAATAGGTTCATCCAATCCATGCCCACTATAACACGAACGTCCCCCATCGCAATCGGGACCT